CAAGCACCTTTCAGAGAACAGATCACCTTGAAAAGCACCTTTTCAATCAAGACAAGCCAATACAAGCACCTTTTGGGGAAAAGGGGGGCAGCAAAGGAGGGAGGGAACACCTTTTAAAAATCCAAAAACCAAAAATTAAAAAAGTGCCAAAAATAAAAATACTGTCCGTACCGCACTGTACCAGGCAACACCAGCAATACCAGGCAGTACCAGGCAGTCTGAAGACTGTCTCCAAATCCACTCTCAAAATGCTGGGAAGAGCGAGGAAGCAGATAAGCACCCTCTTCACTGGCCAACGGTTAACTGAAAGTTCAAATTTCATGCTTTCCCCACCTCAAACACATTTTTTTTGTTTGTAACTCGAATCTAAGTGTGCAAGTCGAGTCAATATTTTTCTATCAGAGTGGTTTGTAAGTCGAAATGTTTGTAAGTCGAGCCGTTTGTAAGTCGAGGGTTGACTGTATAACTGGACAAGGGTAAGCATCCTATCCAAGGAAACTCAACTTATGATGAGAATGACGTTTACATTTTTGCTGAGTTTGTGATGCTATTTTTTCTCAGTGAGGTTTACTGGTTCTTTCTGCTCATACTAGCTAGCTGATGTTTATAAGATTATTTCCTTCAGCATAATAATCACAATATTGAAACCTTGTCTGTTTCCACTTTTCCCCCCAGTTCCATTACTCAAGAGGTCTATGTTGTCTCACTGTTGTCCCCTTTCTTCTCTGTTTCCCATAACATTCCTTCTCTGATCCCCTACCTCTTTTATCACCATCCTTCCCCTTTCCTTGCCAGTGTTTTATTTCCATTTCAGCTCCCTCATCTCTTTCTTTAAAATCAAGAGGAAAGAGGAGCAAGATAATTTCTCAATATGTTTAACAAAAAATTAACTATATTCCTAGAAGTCTGTAGTGTTAGAAAATATAACTATTAGCAAAAAGCACAAAGACAAATCTATATAAAAATAGCTCAAAATGTATCACATTAGCAGTATATTTCTCCTAATGCTTTGTACAGTATCTTCAACACATACCTTTCACATGATGAACTAAGGATACAACATGCTGAATAAATGACTCTGATGTGCTTTTGGCGGCCTGTGGTAGCTTAATGTGGTCAAAGATGGATCGGAACTCTTGCTCCTTCTTGACTGAGTGGACAAGTGTACTAGCAAGCAGCCTGTCTTTAGTCAGGGAAGCAGGTCTGAAGAACACACACACACACACAAAGGAAAACAAGTACTTTATGAAAAAACCAACAACTCTGTGATAGGTAAGAGAAACCAATTACAAATTAGGACAATTACCTGTTTGAATCATCAAGTGGCACAGGTGCCATTTTAAGTTTAACTTCTGGTCGATGAGAGTCGCTGGCTATCATTTTGATTCTAAGCGGGCTCTCCTCCCTGAAGGCAGATTTCTCTCTTGCATCCACATTTTTGTGCAGGGGAGGGCTATAATCAAATAGTTCTTTGAGCTTCTCTGACTTTACCTGTTCAGGTGACTGGGTTTCTTTCTTCATCATTCTCTCAGAAATTTTCTCATCTTCTTTGTGCTTATCTTTAGGTACACTAGGCCTTTCCACTACATAGGTAGTCTCTTTAAGTTTGTAACCTTTATCTTCTCTAAATCCTTCACTCTCTCTATTTCCCTTCAGAGAAATTTTAGATTTGTATTTCGATCCTTCCTCTTCAGCATTCCGATGAGATGCAGTAAAACTCTTACCCTGATCTGCCAAAACAGACTTTCTGAACTGTCTATAATCTTCTGTTTCCTCTGCATCTTCCCCTTCGGAGTCATTGAACTTTTGCTTTCCAGAATCTTTATCCATATAATATTCCAAAGCTTCCTGATCCTCCCACTCTCTTTCACCCTCTGTCCTTCCCTTTTCTGATCCTCTTTCCTTCTGAGCATCCTTCTCCCTAGCATTACTTCTATCAAGCAGGTATACTCTAGACTCTTCATCTGTGTACCTGTGAACAGCAGAGAGAAAAAAGGTAACTCCCAGCTACTTTTATTTACAAAGCACCCCAACTCTACATAACTTCAGTACAAGGTAGAAAAATTCACACAACTAAACCATTTTCATATATTAATTGATGCTTCTTAATATTTGAAAAGAAAAATATTAGGATTTTAAAAATTAATATCTTGCACAAATTCCAGTATCAAATAAGAAAATGAAAAATCACTTTTGTAATTCATTAAGTCTGATATGGCTTTTATAATTAACCTTTCAATCTGAATTCCATATCTATCCATTATATTTCAAACATTCAGAGCTAATAATATTGTCATACACTAATCTAAACAGAACACCTCCCATCTGATGCCATGATAAAACACATTCAAAATCTGGACACACTGCATTGTAACCCACCAGCGAAAGCAGCCACTGGAACAATAAAATGTAATTTTGAGCTATTATCCTTGTAGATGCTGAAAGTGCATTTCATTTTTTTAAAGTTTATCTTGTTCTATTATAGATGTTACTTGTACAGCCTTTAGCAAAATGGACTTATCTTTATATTAGATTTTTAAATACATACAGTGGTGCCTCGCATAACGATGTTAATTGGCTCCAGAAAAAAAAACGTTATGTGAAAACATCGTTATGTGAAGCACCATTTCCCATAGGAATGCATTGAAAACCGGTTAATCCGTTCCAATTGGAACAGATTATCCGGTTTTTTCCCTCCCCCCGCGGCTTGGATCTGACCCACGGCGGCTACCTCAGCCATGGCTGGACTCCCTAGAGTCCGGCCATGGCTGGGGTAGCCGCTGCGGTTACCCTTTAAGCGGCGGGGGCAGGC